GTTTTACACTGACCAAAACAAGTGACTCTTTAAAGTATTGTTACAGGCTCAATTTTGATTGGTTTGAAAACAAAGGAAATGAGTGCTAGTAAAGCATCACTTCAGTAACTTGATTGAGGCAGGTCTTTAAACTGGAAGCCTGATAATTGCGAACTTCCAATCAGAACTTTCCTGTGTCACTTGTTTCCCGACTGCTGGTCAAGGGGAACAAAGGGTTGCCTTGGTGAGGAGCTTACTGACATTGTGCCTTGAAATCCATCACACAGGCTTATCAACCAAGAGGGGTCATTGTTATCATATGCTGGATCAGGAGACAGAGACGCCAAAGTCACAGCAGCTATTGCTTCTAGTATATGGGCAGCTTACGAAAAGAATGGCAAAATGGCTTTCCACAACGAGGAACTTAAAGTGATCTTCATGGACTGTGAGGTTTGTGTCTGTTAAATTGCCATAGCTTTTGAAACTGAATTTGTGGCATTTGCATGGTACTGCATGGTAAGTGTAACACTGAGGAGAAGATAAAGCATTGGCAAACAGCGTAGTGTACAAATGTACAGCATATTAAACAGTACATGTACACAGGACAGTGCTCTTTGGTAGCTTTAATTTGAACAGTCACACATGAAAGGATAATTTACATTATTATATGGAGAAGAGTGTTTTACTCGGAACTAAACCACTCGTAGATTCCATACGCCACTTCATCCGGGACCTGAGTGGCGTATTTTCCGTATGTCACCTTTGTGAGTGTCGTATCATTCAATGACGTCACGATTCCTGCCTTCTGCTTCTGCTTCGCTCACTCGTGAGATATTGTTCTTGCCACTCGAACATAAAATTCATATCTTCTCGCCACCGTGTAATATCCTGTATGTACGATATGAGTTCAGAGTAGTTCTAAACTGGAATGAGTGTTTGGACACTGTAAAGGAATCTTTGTTTGCAATATTTGCCTCGTTAGGATAAATGATTCATTCTCTGATCAAGCTACAAAAATGTGAGTCCAAATAAAAGGGCATAGCAAGATTT